CCAACTGAAAGCAAGCTTACGCATTCTTAAAGATTACTCTTAAGTTACTTTACCGGTAACCAGGTAAGGAGGAACTGTACGTGCATGGAGTCTGAAAGGGCAAACCGCCCTCACCTTCTGCATACACGCGTGATACTCTCATAGCGAACGTGCTAAAGTTAGTCGCGGTTTGCGCACGCGTTACCGGCCGTGTAAAATAATGGCGCATCGGTTCACTTGCTATTTTCCTTAGGACTGAGAGGCTGAGAAGAATCTAGGGTTTTTTGATTGTTTCAAAAACGAATTTCTTGCTTAGTTTTGTCTATCCTGTTCCTCTGAACACATTTATCAGCTTGTCTAGTTTATTATGCGAAATTCTTTACGATGCAGCAATCGAATTAGAACAAATTCTCACAATTTGACGGCTGAACAACAGGGGCAATTTTGGTTGTCAATTAAGGATAATACGAATAGCTGCCTTTTAACATATAACCATACTTAGGCTGCTTCAAAAAGCAGCTAAACGGACACTATTGTTCAGTCTTCTGATCATTCAAAACTGAAACGTAAACGTTTCTCCTTGTAAAACATTTGGTTGTTGTTACTTGTTCTTTAAGGGAGATAGTTTGGGTCGGGGGTTTCCGCATTATTCGAAAATACAGAACACGCCAGAATTCGTGCAATATGCCGACATATGCGCAAGATTGATACTCTTTCACTAATCGGCATTGACTCAGGCTGTGATACTGACTATCGTGTAGTCTATTACGCAGTTATTTCAGTCATGATAAGATGTGGGCTCTTTACCGAGCTTCGTTCTGAACACTAACAAAGCGCACGTACTGTAAAAAGTAAAAAGTAAATACTTAAATAGTATGCGTTTTTATCGTTGATTTTGACCGCCTTTATAAATTCAAATGCATTTATGGAAAATATGCACGAGAAAATTATTTCCTGTACTCGTTTGGTAGTAAATTACGCTTTCTTCAAATTTTATACTTAAAGAAAGGATACTGGTCAGTTTTAAAAAGTTTCTAAATTGCTGAATAATTTTGAAACCTACTGACTGCTACACTCGAATTTAAGGTTTACAAACTGCGCACTATGTACATCCTGTTTGAGGTAGAGTAGGTTTACGCCTGCAGTTTGAGGAAGAAGTCACATAGTTCTCATTAAATGTTGCAATAGATAAGAAGCATGCTTTATACAGTATAGGCAGCAATAATAAATTGACGGATACGATTCATCATGAATGAGTACCTCACAATCGCAAAAAAAGCTCATAATAAGGAATTTTTCTAAAATCGAAGGATACACTTTCTTTAAGTATAAAAGGTAAAGAAGGCGTAATTTGCTACCAAACGAGTGCAAGAAACAATTGTTTCGTGCATTTTTTCCACAAAATGTATTTGAATTTATAAAGGCAATCAAAATCAATGATAAAACGCATACTATTTAAGTAGATACTTTTTACAGTACATGCGTTTTGTGAGTGGTCAGAACGAAGCTCGTTAAAAAGCCCATATTATATCATAACTGAAGTATCAGTCTTCCGCATATGTCAGTATGTTGCATAAATTCTGGTACGTACTGTATATACCTTAAATTACCGTCACAAAATATGAGTTTTCCATTTGGCAATCTGAACTGATTTTTCTTTCGTCTTTCGATGAAATTGTGACCTCAAGTTCAAGGGGCGTCTTCGAAAACTCCTCATTCTAATCGATGTACTTTTCAGCGGGGAAAAAATCTCACGAGACCATATGTAACTATCCACAAAAGATGAATTAACGGAGGTCAATTGAACGTATTTTTGAGTATAATACTCTGAATTATTCGGAAACCTAGTTCAGTCTTCGTTTGTTCTGAACGTGAGGAGAAGCAAAGGCGTGGTACTCAGATGTCACTTCGGTCGCCAGGCATTTAGAGCTTCCTCAGCTTATGAATGCCTGCGTCATTACGTACACAGAGAGCAGGACAAGAAGGATATGATACTAAAGATAACAGCGCAGAACTGGCCTGGTGACGAAGTCACCCCAACGGTGAAGGAGAAATCCACCAGGCCACACAAACCTCACCGAGGCTCGTCCGCTCTCCATCGATGTGCTGACTCCTAACGCGTGCAGCG